TACATGATGAGATTTGGGGTAGTTTTTACTTTGCTTTTGTGCTTGCATTCATATTGTTTGTTTGCTATTACCCTATCATTTCCCCAAAAATGCAAAAGCCCTTTTTGAAAATCCCAATTCAAACTCTTGACTATCTTGAACCTAAGTATTATGCAATTGAGTCAGGTTAGACCCATGACAGCCGTGTTAGCTCTTACATCCCTGAACCCACGAAACAAGAGGAGTCAAAGCCCAGGCTGTGGATGGGAGGCGCCTGCATGACTCTTGAGCCTTAAGAGCTGAAGTTCACGGGCAGCCCTGAAGCCTCAATCAAAAGATCCTATGCACTCGTCACACTGGTCATGTTGATCATATGAATTAAAGACACTATCTCCAATTGAGCACACTTGAATGAATTTTCCTTTAAAGTTTGGCTTGTTTCTAAGTTACTCTGAGAGAAAAGAAAAGTACTAGAAATAACGAATGGTGTGTGGAAGCTCTCTGTATTTGCCCTCTGAAGAAACTGCTCTGTTCCTTCTTGTTTTAGATGCAGAACTTTTAGAGGACACTTGGGGTGATTTTAAGTGCAAAACAGACAAAACGATGGGGAGTTTTTTTCCTCAGCAGCTAGAAATAAGAACGCTGTTGGACTTAATATCAATTGTTCCTCAATTCCACTTTGGGCTTCCAAAGCCAGGAATGTGTCACTAATGGGAAGAAGATGTATCTGGGCAGAGCCATGAAAATAGATCAACAGGGGTTCCTGCTTCTTCCCAATTTCTCCAGAAATGGCTTCTCATGACCTTTCTTCCACTCCTGCTTCCTACATGATTTACGGCTTTTTCAAGTTCAAAAATGTGACTTCAAATACACGATTTCATTTCATGTCCTTATGCTAGCTAGCTCTCTTGTGAGAGATTTTCTCAAAACAAGATAACATGGTATAGTCAGTGTAGATAGGAGCCTTCCACAACTCAGTTGTAACATTGATGCTACACCATTGTATAGAAACAGAATGCCCAACCAGAAATGGGTATCCCCTTGAATGGGAGACAAATAACTAGTATGCAAAAGGAAACTAACAAAAGTCTATGAGGCTATACCCCCTGCACATAGGGCTCAGCCTTTGGAAGAGAATCTGCTGAGCCAGTGCGGGTACTAAGAAACACTGCTTCCTGCTGATAGCTCTGGTGTCATGTGCCTCTGTCCCGGAATCCCACAACTTTTCTCAGGGGCTTGTGATCCGGAGACACAAGCCCTGGTACTGGAGATGGGCCCTGGACACAGAGAGGTGATCTTGTCTGGTGCCAGTGGACTGATAAATCCACAGGAGACAAGCCCTTCCAGCAGGCTGGAGCGAGAAGCCTGGGAGCACAAAGGAGCCCAGTAAGGCTCAGAAATCAGTGCAGGAACCCATGCCCATTGGACAGGTAGGAATCCAGGTTCAAGAGGTAGACCTGCCCTGAAGTGGCAGAGGGAGAGACTGATCACCTCCCAGAGTTGCCAGAGTAGTCTTGATTGCAGGAGAGGAAACGGCAACTCTAAGGGGCTGGGTGGCAGGCTGGAGACACTGTGTGAATGGTGGCTGAGTGAGATGGGCTGAGCCCAAAGCGAGGGCAGAGTCCAAATCTGCAGTTCCACAGCAATCCTCCCTGCAAGGTCTACGCGCCTGGTCCAGGTGGGGTTGGTTCACTGAGCTGCCAAGGCTAAGAGGTGCCTGAAATATCTCCATAAGGAGAATGGCTCGAGATGGACAAAGCCATTGCTCACCCCATCTCCTTCCCTTTTCATGTGTGATTGTCAACTTTTAGTGGGAGGAAATGGATAACAGAGTTAAGATCACCCTTATATTGTATGGTAAAGAACTTTAAAAGGGGATCACTAGATAAAGAGCTCTATGATCAGGTGCCCAAATTAATTTGAAACCAGAGAAAAAATTTTCACTTTAAAATAAATGGTTGTTTTTCTCTAGTCTTGTGCTCTGGGACTCTGCCAAGTTCCTCCCTAATGCTAGAGAACAGGAGAGATAGAAGAGGGAAGGAATCTGGAAAGGCTGACTAGACCAGGTCCTGGACATTTTTTTTTTTTCCTCTGAGATGTCCTTTATTCCTATTTCACAGGTGAGGAAATGAGGCTGGCCCTTCTGACAAGGGAAAGCACCAGGGTCTGATGAAGCGGTCACTGGCTGAGAGCCGCCATCTGCTGGCTGGGAAATGGGCTGGGTGGGATGCCCTGGGCAGGGATCTCAGGGAGAGTGAGTGGGACAGTGTAGAGGCAGGAGGCATGGAAGAGATTTACACATAGAGATGGAACATCCCGTTCCTGCTGCATAAGTGCCACTAGCCCTGCTTCATAATATACCTGCCATCATGCCGCTAGCAGATGGCAGATCCTGGACCTTTTATGGACACTAGAGAGATCTGTATTCTGTCCTGGGACAATACATGCATTGCCTCAAGCTGCAGGTTCAGCTCTATCATTTTGTGCAAATGCCTGATAAGAGAGCCTGACAGAGCTGGGAATATCAGGGGACACCCTGCTTCCGGTGGGTTTTATCCTGCTCTCCAGCTGGGCATAAGTAGGAAAAAATGGAGGGATCCCATCAGTGACAAAGTTTCTTTTCCTTAAAAGCATTTAGGCCTCAATCTTCTTAAAATGTCTGAGCTGGCTCTAATCTGATCCAAATTTACACTCTGCTCTGATAAAGATGTTTTGTGTGCTCCTTTGCTGAAATAATTGTGTTTGGGCTCTTCCTTCAGTCTAAGTCTTTTTTTTTTGGAGCTCATAAACTGAAGTTTATGCCCTCTATTTTTCTTTCTTCTGTCCTTATTCTGAGGCCAGTTGTCCAAGGGTTAACTCTCAAATACACACACACACACACACACACACACACACACACACACACACACACACACATTTCCTTTGAAGACTCCTAGGTTTTAGGATTCTATTGAGAAGCAAAGACAATGCCTTGCCACTTGTAAAACTTATTTTTAAGAACACTCATTAACTTAAACGTCGTGTCCCTTCCCTGAGAAAGGAGAAAGCCAACAGCCCTTCCTCCCTGGAGCGAGCAGCACATGGACCAGTTGTACTTCACCAGACTCCTGCCTCATCTCATTTTCCTCTTTCTCCAGGGAAGTCCTAAGAAAAACAGGCAAGGGCAGGATGTGGAGGGTGGGAGGGACCCAAGGGAGGGGGAAAGGGTGATCATGAACTGAAACCTATGTCCATGCATATGAGTTTGGTCGGGATGAACCCAACAACTATGTATCACCATTCATCTCTAATAAGACAAATAAATAAAAATTACATTAAAAAAGAAAAGGAAAAACAGGCACTGGTTCTACAGTTCCTGATCTATAAAAATAAGCTGAAGAAGAAATTCCTTTGACCAACCCCTCCTCTTCATCTTCTTGGTGAAGAAGCCGCTCTCCAGAGTTTGCTGTTGGCACATATCAAAGGTCAATTTAAATTGTTGACTTGATTGGATTAAGAGATGCTGAAGATTAAGAGGCTTCTGGGTATGTCAATGAGGGTGTGTCTAGGCACGTGGAATAGCCAACGGAAGTGGAGATGCTCCCTAAGCAGCACCATTCAGTAGGGTAGAGGCTTAGATGGAATAAAAGTTGGAAGAAGAACTAGGAAGCAGCAGCAGATGCAAGCTAGATTCTCCTAGACACATTCTCATTTGCTGCTTCGATCACCTGAGGACATCAGACTCCAGCTCCTTCACTCTTCCAAGGTGGACTCTGCCAGTGATTCTCCAGGGGGTTTCCAGAAGCCTCCGATCCTGGACTGGGATAGCATCACTGATCCCTCTTGTTCTGAAGCTTCAGCCTCTGGACTGCCCAGCGACTGGTTCCTCCAGCTCTCCAGCCTGCATATGGCCATTGTGGACTATCCAGCTTCTGTTTTTTTAAGCCAATCTAATAAATCCCCTTTTTATAACCATACCACCGGTTGGTTCTGTTCCTCTGGAGAACCCTGACTCATACAGCACATTTCTGCTTAACTCAGCATTACTAAGAGCAGGAGGAAGAAAGCAACTGAGGTTAATGCTGCCGAACATGGCAATAATTTCAATTGTTATTAATAATTACAATAGCTAAATCAACAAAAGTTAAATTTAAAAATCCTTGCATTTAAATCTAGTCATGACAGAACTGGACATGGCTAGAAACTGAAGATCCAACCCAAACTTTTACATTTACTTGTTAGAGGATTTTGAATAAATCACTAACTTTCTTCAAGTTTGAGTTTTTCCATTAGTTGCGAGGAACATGTTGCACATCATTATAGGGCCTTGGAAGGTCTGGTTATTTGTAATAATAATTATTATTACTACTATTGTCATCAACATTTTGTTTTAAAACATGAAGATAATGATTTTGATAGTCACATTTAAACTATAAGACATAAAATGCAAAATGTTTTAAAATATGCCGTCGTAGGTAGGAATGGTGGCTCACACCTGTAATCCCAGTGACTCAGGAGGCTGAGGCAGGAGGATTGCAAGTTCAAGGCCAGCCTCAGCAACTCAGTGAGACCCTAAGCAACTTAGTGAGACCCTGTCTCAAAACAAAAAATAAAAAGGACTGGAGCTCTGCCCCAGTGGTAAGACCCCCCTGGAATCAATCCCAGTACCAAAACAACATAACAGTTTGTGGTGATAACAATTATTATTATTATCGTTCTCCAACTTGTTTTTCTATTTTGAACTTTCTTCTTGAAAAGCTTTCAGAACTCAATATCCCCCATTCTTCAGCCCCATCCTGCAACATTTCTGTTTCTTTTCCCATCGAGGATCCTGCTGACTTTGAAAACTGCAGATCTTCCGGACGCCAAACCCCCTCTACCCTCAGCATTTCTGACTTGTCATTGGAAATCTGTGCAAAAGAACCTTTAAAAGGGGCTGGCAGCTCATCACGCCCTCTCTGGGTAAGCACATCATCATCACCTGGTGTGCTTTGGCCCGTGCCTAACTGCGGGACTGTCTTTTTCTTCTCTTACAGGGACGAGCAGAATGGCCACCTCCTTCCCCGAGACTGAGCTTGCCCTGGAGGCAGTTGGAACCACACCCTACGACTACGACTTGGCACCGCCCTGTGAAAAAGTCAATATCAAGGAGCTGGGGGCGAGGTTTCTGCCCCCGCTGTACTCCCTGGTGCTCGTGGTGGGGCTCCTGGGCAACGTGGTGGTGGTGCTGATCCTCACCAAGTACCGGAGGCTCAAGGTCATGACCAACATCTATCTGCTCAACCTGGCGATTTCTGACTTGCTCTTTCTCTTCACTCTTCCCTTCTGGATCCACTACGTTGGGTGGAACGAGTGGGTTTTTGGTCCTTTCATGTGCAAGCTCCTCTCGGGGTTTTATTACCTGGGCTTGTACAGCGAGATCTTTTTCATCATCCTGCTGACCATCGACAGGTACCTGGCCATCGTCCACGCCGTGTTTGCCCTTCGAGCCCGGACGGTGACTTTCGGTGTCAGCAGCAGCATCTTCACCTGGGTCCTGGCAGTGCTGGCGGCCCTCCCCGAATTTATCTTTCACGAGTCCCAACAGGGCTCCGAAGAGTCTGTCTGCAGTCCTCTCTACCCAGAGGACGAGGAAGACAGCTGGAAGCGTTTCCATGCTCTGAGAATGAACATCTTGGGTCTAGCGCTCCCTCTGCTCATCATGGCCGTCTGCTACTCTGGGATCATCAAAACCCTGCTGAGATGCCCCAACAGAAAAAAGTACAAGGCCATCCGGCTCATTTTTATCATCATGGTGGTCTTTTTCGTTTTCTGGACCCCCTACAACCTGGTTCTCCTTCTCTCTGCTTTTCAAATGAACTTACTGGAGTACAGCTGTGAGCGCAGTAGACATCTGGACCTGGCCATGCAGGTGACGGAGGTGATCGCCTATACCCACTGCTGCGTCAACCCTGTCATCTACGCCTTCGTGGGCGAGAGGTTCCAGAAATACCTGCGCCACTTCTTCCACAGGCACGTGGCCATCTACCTGGGCAAATACATCCCATTCCTTCCTACCGAGAAACTGGAAAGAAGCAGTTCTGTCTCCCCATCTACTGGGGAGCCGGAACTGTCTGTGGTGTTTTAGATCTGGTGCAGAAAACTGCCTGTTGAAGCCGGACTAGGCAGGTGAAGCTAACACACTGGGTCAACAACACTGAACTCTGGGACAGGTCTTTGAACTTTCAGCACAATAGCAAAGCTCTTGAAGATCTTAAAACATAAGCAATGCGGGCAATGTTGTGCTTACACACCCAAGGTCATTATCAGAGGCCAAGGGCTGGACAGTTTACCCACTGAAAATCATAAACACCACAGCTTTGCTTGATTCTCTAAAGACTTACCTAAGTTTGGATATTAGATAATATACACAGCCACAAACAGGTAAAACTTCTTATATTTTAAAACGTAACTTCAGCCACTTATGGACAGAAATGAATTCTTTCACAAAATGCATTAAGTCAATTACTTTATTTTCTCATATGCCTAAACAAAATACTTTCTTTGCTTGGTAAAAGTGTTTTGCCTTCTTTTTTTTTTTTTTTTTTTTTTTTTGCTATATGGATAAATACTCTCAAGCAACATAATGGCACCATGCCATAGCTGTTCTAAATATTCTTAATAGTTGGTTGGTTTCCTGTTCACACCAAATGACTTCATGTCTCTTGTGTGGCTCACAGAGCCCTAAAAGGTGCACTCTGCCTCTGCCCAATTCACACTATAAAGTAAGGGTCTTCTATACGTGAGAAGAAGCCCCAGTGTGGAGTGGAGGCTATCAGCTCAAAGGGACTCACTGAAGTCACTGGTTCTCAAATGTGTCATTAGAAGCACTGGGATGGTCCAATCCCACCCCAGAGTTTCAAAACTGGTCTGGAGTGAGACCAGAAAATTTGCCACAAATGCAAGTTCTCCAGCGTTGCCAACACTGCTTTTCCTGGGATCACACTTTTAGAAAAACTGCACTAACTAACATGCTCTTAGATGCATTTCTGCCTTCTTCTGGAAACTCGGGATTTCGCAGTTGTCAGAGAAAAATGTAAAAGACCCTTTCAATGGATCTCTGCTAAAGATAGTTGCCATCTGAGAAGACTATGAACAAAGTCAGTCCATCAGAAACCAATCGACTCAGTAGGAATATCTAGTCCACTGGTTTTGGTAAGATGAGCTTGGCTAGAATACCCATATCGAGCACCCTGTACTAGAAGATGCAGGAGTTTCTAAGATGGGTAGGACTTGCATGAACTGCATTCTAAAAAGATAAAAAATGCAACTTATGACATAAACATATTTTTTAAAAAAAAAGTAGGAATGACCCAGGAACGAGGACTTTCTTTCTCCCTGTTTATGGCTTCTTGGGGAAGTAAGTTCTAAGCTTCTGCTTAATTTGTGCCCCTCAGTAGAGACAATGTATAAGAAGGTGTCATGAACCCACCAGCTGTTCATCCAACAGCTGTCAGAGTCAGGGACAGGATGCACACTCACTGCCGTGAAGTGAAGGATGCATAAGACAGACACAATCCCTGCCCCCATGAAAACTTCAGTCTAGTGGGAGGTATAAGACCGAAACCAATAACTCCAGTATGAAGAGGCAGGCACTTGATGCTGTGCCTGGAGCTGAGAAGGGAAAAGTCATTTCAGGTGAGGGAGGACTTCACGGAGGAAGTGGCTTCTGACCAGGTGTTTGAAGAATAGACAGTAAAGGATTTGGAAAGTAAAGGATTTGGGGACAGACATTGGAAACCAAGGGAATGCCCAGTTCAAAGGTGAGGAGGGGGGCTGGGGATGTGGCTCAAATGGTAGCGTGCTCGCCTGGCATGCGTGCGGCCCAGGTTGGATCCTCAGCACCACATAACCAACAAAGATGTTGTGTCCACTGAGAACTAAAAAATAAATATTAAAAAATTCTAAAAAAAAAAGGTGAGAAGGAAAGCACATATTTATAGAAAATAGGGTGGAATGAACAAGTTGGAATGGGCCATGAATTTCAGGTAGAGGACCTTGAACTTTTTAAAGGGTTTTGAGCAGGGAAATAAAATAATCAATGTCATGCATTATGGAGATGAATCTGGAAACAGAGCATGGAGGCTTCAGAACCACCCAGAGAGGAAAAGTTAGCAGGTGAGCATGAGTGTAGAGATGAGGAACATTAGTGGCTGATGAGAGGTGCCAGAAGCACCCAGAGATGAAGTGGCCAAGAGACAGCATGAAGAAAGAGTCAAAGCACTAGGCGTCACGTATGGTTGATAGAAAAAAAAAAAATCAAAGGGCAAAATATGTGTAACAGTCAACTTTGCATTATTACAATGAAACACCTGAGGTAATTAACTTATAAAGAGAAAAGGTTTATTTAATTCATGGCTCTGGAGGTTCTAGTTCAAGATCCACTGGCCCCATCACTTTGGGCCTCTAGTGAGGGCAGTAGATAGCAACAATAGGAAATGCATGTTGGAGCAGACTATTATGTTACCAGCCAGGGAGCTGAACAGAGCAGATAGACTGGAATCTCACAGTCTCTTCTGAGGGCATGTCCTGGATGACTAAAGACCGCCACTAGGCACAATCTCCTGAAGACCACAGGATCTCCTGATGGTGCAATCCTGGAGACAAAGCCTTTAACACGGGCACCTGTAGGGGACACTCTAAGACAAAAGAAACCAGCACCAGTGGTTGTCTTTAGGGGCTCTGAGAGACTGGAGAGCAGGAGAAAGAGTGTGGCCTTCTGGATTTTTTTATTTTTTCAGTGCTGGGGATGGAATCCAAGGCTCACACATCCCAGGCAAGCACTCTGCCACTGAGCCACATCTCCAACCCACCTTTTGGATTTTGAGCCATGGAAACATATTACCTGTTCAAAATAATGATAACAACAATAAACCTTAGAATTGTATTTTTAAAACAAAAGGCTAAGCTCTTATTCAGATGTTCAGATGTGGGCACCCAAACCATCAGCCAAAGGACATGAGAAACTTCTTGCCGTGAATTCACCCTTTGACGTGGTACACATTATTCCACCTCGTTTTCGCTAAGATTTCTTTATTGATACCATAGAGGAGTTAGATTAGATCATTTCTAAGATCTCTGAAGCCCAACCAAACTCTGATCTTCTTAAAATATTGGGAGCTCAGTCCATAAAACAGGTTGTGAAACAGGAGGGGGAGAGGAACAGAGGACAATTCCAAGCATCACCTCCCATCGCTGGAAGCAGACGATGACCCCTTGCTGACCAGGGGGTCTTCGGGAGTCGCTTGCTCATCCACTCATCTCTGACGGTTCCCTCATTCTCTCCTTCATCCGGTAAACATTGGCTGAGCTCCCACCATGTTGTCAGCTAAGTCCCGAGTGAACAAAATCAAGCACATCACGGACCCGCCCTCCAGAGCTCACCGTCACGTTGATTTGCCCACTGATCTGGCTCTCCATTGCCAGGGTTCTGCCAATGCCTCGTTTTAACCAAAATGGGAGACACTTCCGAGTGAAGGCCAGAAAACATTTTATTTTACTTCCTATCCAAGTGCTTGGGGTCGGGGTGTCGCTGTTCCTGGCCAGCCATTCCATCCCTCCTCGGCCTCTGATAAGGGGCCTCCACCTTTCTCACCATGGTGCTCACCTAAAAACTCTACTGGGTAATACAGGATGTGAACTTTGAAACACTCTAGACCACGCAACGTGAATCTCACCGTGGCTAGGAAACTCGGAAGTACCTTTTCTCTCTTTTTTGTGGTTCAGTTGAAATGTAAATAAAACATCATTCAAAAAAACTTAACTCTATGTCACTGGTTCTCTCTTGGCTCGTGAAGTTGTGTCTGCTCTCAGGTAGCCACAGTTGCTGGGTACAGGTGCTTGCTTATACTTGCCTTACCCCAGAAACCTTTAGGAGCTTTGAGGCCCACTCAAAACTGCAAACCATCCAAGCGTGAATTCAGTGTGCTCCATCTTGCTCCCTAGCCCAGCTCTGTCCCATGGAACTATCTGCAACGACAGAAATGTTCTATAACTGCCTTGTCCAAGAGGGTCACTGGGAGCCACATGCAACTGTTGGCCAATTGAAATGTAGACTGTGTGACTGAGAGGAGCTGAATTTTTAAAATCGCATTCAACTTCAATTGCTTTGGGTTTAACTTGAAATAGCCATACGTGGCCAGCGGCTACCTCAGGTGGTTCATGGCTCATCACTACCCTTACACACTTGTCTCTTCATTCCTCTTCTACCTATGCAGAAGCTCCCTGCAGCCCGCAGTACATAATAGAACACAAGTAACAGAACAGCAAAAATGCTAGTGATGCAAAGATGGCGACCCTTTTCTAGAAACTGGGCTCACTATTCCGTGAAAGAGACCATCTACCTTAGAGGATCGTAGTGAAATCTGTGAACGCCCAAAGGAACCTACCTCAGGAAGTAGGATGGAGACAACAGGGAAAGGTACACAGAGAGCATGGTGATCTGCTTGGGTGAGGTTCCCCCAGGCGCAGACCCTAGGGTAAGGATTTGAAATCCAAGAGTTGATTTGGATAAAGCAGGAACTTCTGTAGGGAAGCAGAGAAGTAGATCAGAAGGGGGAGATGCCAACCACGGGGACAGAATCAAGTCACTTTCCAGGGTGCGGGGCTGGTGACTGGGATTAAAGTCACCAGAAGACTCTGGGAAACGGTGCAATACACACGGCTCAGTCTCCACTCAAGGGCAAGGGAGTGGGGTATTTATACTCCACTTTGCTTCAGTGGCTGAGCGCTTTCCCAGCTCTCTGTACTTCTGGCTCAGGAAGAGCCTGCCCAGCTTTGGGAATATCTCCTTGGGCAGCAAGCTGCAGACCTTGGACGTTGGAAAGTAGCAGGTCGGGTTGGGGCGTGAAGGATGAAACACTTGCCACATATTTGGACTCACTTTTGCAGTTTTGTCATTGAGCAGAGTGGAAGTGGGAGTGACGTTCAGGCGCACAGGTCAGTTTTTTGGAAGGCACCTCACCTCCCCGTGCACAGCAGGGGTCTCCTGTGGGCAAGGCCCAGTGTGACACGGGACAACAGCAGGTAAACTTGAACAAGACTTGGTGTTCACTCCCCCAACCTCCTTGATCCTCCTCTTTTATTGTAAATCTACCATTCCAAAAGATGACCCTTATCCATCTCAGGAGCTTGAACTCCTGAGATTACTCCAAATTCCAGAGGCAAAATTCCAGTCTTCACATCTGAACAAAGCTGCTTCCTGTCCTTCACAGCCTACAGGGTGTCAAAAATTCCACTAGGACTTGTGTGCACGTCTGCCCAGGTTATACGCCCCCAGGAGAGTCAGAGTCTCCACTTCTCTTTCTGTGGTCATGATCTAACGCAGGGCTGCACTAGACCTGCCGGCCAGACCCACCTGCTCTGTTGGTAAATAGACCATCGCTGGGACACAGCCTCACTCAGTTGTCTATGAATCAATGGTGGCTGCTTCTCAAATC